AAAGCATCTCGTTTTTTATTCCCAGTCAGGACAAATGCCTGGGTTGGGGGCCAGGTCCCTAAGTAATGGGTCCACAAGACACAACCACACATTGATGTTTCTCACCCTCTCTGTCTGCCTCCATTCCCCTCTCTAAATAAAATCTTTAAAAAAAAGAATTGAGATATTATATTTCAAAACAGTGATTTGCACAAAAATAAAGATACCTTCTTGTTTGGATGTAAGCAACTTCAGGCTGTTCAGTACAACCAACTGTAATGTAGGAGCTGCCATCGGGCAGTAAGACTGTGCTGTGCAACGTGGAGACAGTGAGGCTTCAGGGATTCCCAGGACGTGGAAGTCAGTGTGGACTGAGCGCTTTGGGGAGTTTGAAAGAGGATGGATTTCATCGGAATCCTGGAGAATTAGTAATGACCAAAGAGGAACATAGTTAGGAGACAAAGTAATTTCCAGTGGGGAAAAATGGCTTGAGCAAAAGTATGGGTGTTGGGAAACAGCAGGTGCATAAGGAGGATGAAAGGAGAAGAATGAAAAGAAAGAAGAGTAGAAAATGGGCTGGATCCAGTCCTCAACAGCCAATGTGCCCGAAACTCATTTGCTAGGTGATTGTTACTCTTCCACTCTCTCTGCTCCCTGGTCTTCCTGCCTCTTCCTCTTAGAAGCCTGTGCATGCTCCTTGCCTCCAGTTAGTAGCTGGAAGCAGAAGCACAGAGGGAGGTAAACACGAAGAAAAATGCTCTAACAAAACAAATAAGATGACGAATTAGCCTTTTGGCAAGTGAATAGCAAAGATACTGGCTAATGAAAAAATCAACTAGCTTCTACGGGGTAAAAGCCCAAAGTAAGGGGCCATTAAATTTATCATCCAAGCTGGGGCACTCTAGACACTGAAGATTCTGCCATTCATGGTTACACTGGGACAACAGGCATAAAACTGCAGACCCCAGACACCGGGGAGGGCACTGATCACAGAGAAGCATCAGACAGGGTTTGAAGAACAGCCAGCTCCCATGCCACCATCTGACTCTCCTGAAGGTGGGAGCTCTGTTTCCCTCCCTCCAGGTCATGAACTTTTGGGAGCCAGGGCTGTGTCCAGGCCCCACTTGGAATGCAGCACAACATCTCACCCAGTGCTCTGTGTATCCTGGGCCTCAGCAGGTGCGGGCTGATCTGCAGGGCAGATGAAGAACAGGTGTGGACTATGGAGTATGGAGAGCCAACTGGGCCAGTCACAGGTGGAGACCCCATGAGGGCCCTGGGGGTGACTGGAAAGAGTGGAATGTGTCTGTGTGGGGGTAGAGCCCCCAGAGACTTGTCCCCCTTTCTGTGTCCTGGCTGCCCTGTGGCCCTCCCCTGACCAGGTTTCCTCACACGGTCTCCACGGGACCTGCTTCTGGTTCTATCCCCAAGGTCCCTTTCGGAGTCTCTTTAATTATGATCTTGGGAGCTCCTGTCAGGGCTAAAGTCTGAGGGGTCTCCTGGGAGGGGACAGCTTTACCGTCCTCACTGCAGCTCTGTGTTAAGTACCTTAATGGGCAGTGGGAGACAGGTCAGAAAACCAAGCTGAGAAGCAGCCTGTACCAGGTGGACAGGCACTGGTGGGTACAAGGGATACATGAGTGCTGTCTCTGAGCCCATCTGCCCACCACCACACGCTTGACTAAGTCCCCATTCTCTCTCTCCCCCTTTTCTGAGAGGAGACTGTTGTCTGTCTGAGCCCCACTGAGTGAGAGAGTCACTGGGAGGTTGGGAAGTGAGGGGCTGGGAGAGAGGTCAGAGTAGGAGAGGCATCTTCCTGCACCCTTTGTCCCCCCTGACTCAGTGAGTGAGGGGTGATGGAGTGAAGTTCATCCCAGAAACTCCTCCACAAGGTAGCTACAGAGTCGCCTTTTCCTCCAGACAACCTGTCCTGAGGTGAGCATGTGTCATTTTCCTATCACCCCTCTTGTCCCTTCCTTACAGTTCCTTTTTCTGATTTCTGGTTTGTGTCCTCATTTCTATTTATTTGTCAGCATTTCTTCTTCCTCCTAATGTCTGCCTCTTTCCGCATTTCTGTGCTGGGCTTATGCATATTCTTTCTAATGTTATGTGTCTTCTCACTCATTTTCTGGTCCTCTTCCCTTGATCTACTGCTGTCTTTTTCTTAATTTCTCACTGACATTTGCCCTTCCTCCTTCCCTTTGTCTGGGCTGGTGGCTCCATGGTGGGGTTCCAGGTGAAGGGTGATTGAAAACAGGAAGACTGAGGATGCATGTGGAGAGATGAAGGGGAGGAAAGGGAGGACTGATATGGGACATAGAGTCACCTCTTCCCTGAAAGTATATTGTAGAGACAATGACACCATAAAAGAATGTGGTGTCATTTCTAGGGAGAAAAATAAAGCTATTAATTACACCCCCAGCATACAGGAATAAAGTCAGAGAGGAGAAAATATGAGTATGTGAGACACTAGAATAGTTTCTTGAGTCATTTTGGGTGCACAATGAACTATTCCGCAATACCTACTGAGAACGTCATAGATGCTGGTACCGTACTGTGAGCAAGGGATCTGCCCAGTAGCAAAGTGACATCAGGCACCATGGGTTCTAGTTGGGAGAGGAGAGACAAATCCATGCACATTAAATGTAGCAGGACCGATTTTCTGAGTGCTGTGAGAAAAGCAAGGCAGGGGAGGAGAGTGGAGAGCAGAGGGATTTCAATTCTAAACAGGTGTTGAGAAGCAACCTGGCTGAGAAGGTGGGGAGCAGGCAAAGCCACAGGGTGGAGCAATGAGCGGAGGGCCTTCCATGAAGAGGCCGAGTGAACTGGAGCCCCTGAGGCTGGTGTCTGCCTGCTGGGTGGGAGGAAAGGCTGGAGGCAGGTGAGGCCAGCAGGAAATGAACTCCAGGGACAACAGAGTGAACCTGGGTCCAGGTGATGGAGAGGCAGCCAGAGGAAAGCCTTGCCTCATTGTGAAGTATGTTGTCTTTTATTCTCATGAGGATGCTTCACTCCAGTGCTATGTTCAAGTAGCCTGGGGTGGATGCAAGGGGGCAATGAGGAGGCAAGTCTGGTTAGGGACCACCTTCACCATCCAGGGGACAGGTGTAGCCAGATAGGGTAAGCAGGAGTGTAAGGGGCCATGGTGGAATACATTTTGGAGGAAGAGACAGCTAGGGATTCTGACATTGGGGTGAGTGTGAGAGGAGAGGTGCCAAAGACACACCCTGTAGTGTGTCCTAGGAGACTGGATAGACCTGCCATTAAAGCCCCCTAGATGCTATTGTCATCCATTTATGGAGAAGTGCTTATTTTTAGTAAATATGTAAAAATATTTCATGCTGTATGAGTTACTTTCCCTCAGAGGAAGGAAGCCAGCAGCAAAGTAGCACATTTGAGTTGAGAACAAAGGCTCCTGCAAGGAAGGGGAGTCCTCTGCTCTCAGAAAACGGAAGCAGAGACTGTACATGTCTCCATCATGCGTGGTCCCCTGCAGTCAGCCCATCTGTGCTGAGGGTGCCCCACAAGCCACGCCACACTCCAGGGGCTGCCAGTGTCACAGTGAAAGCCAATGGTGCTTCTGTGTCTCACTGGGATGACACAGACAATAAAAGTTAAAAATGTTAGCATATGCATGTTAAATGGTGTAAGTGCTCAGGAAAAAAGCAGGAAAGGGCTTGGGCTTGAGAGTACAAAGACATTTGTACATATGTTTCATGTGTCTTTCACAGAAGATATCTCTAAAGAGGTTGGCATTTAAGTAAAGTTCTGAAGCAGGTGAGAGGGGTGGGCTAGGATGGGGGTAAAGTGCAGAAAACTGCATTTGAACAGCAATTAAAAATTTTAAAAATTAATTGAAGAAAGGTAAAAAGTAGCCCTGGCTGGTGTAGCTCAGTGAATTCAGCTTGGACTGTGAACCAGAGGGTCATGGTTGGATTCCCAGTCAGGGCACATGTCTGGGTTGTGGGCCAGGTCCCCAGTGGGGGCCATGTGAGAGGAAACCACACATTGATGTTTTTCTCCCTCTTTTTCTCCTTCCCTTCCCCTCTCTCAAAAATAAAAAAAGAACCCTCTATAAAATAGGGGGAAAATAAAGCAAGTGAGAGATAGAATTGTGGGAAGGGCAAAGAAAAGGCAACACCCAAAGGTGAGAATGAGTCCAGGTTGTCTGAGGAAATTAATGGAAGCACAATGAGTGAAGGGGGCATTGTAGGGGATGAGGCCATAGGTACCAGCACCAGTGTGTGTGTTGGAGGTGGGGGAGAGAGAGACAGACAGAGAGAGGGAGAGGAAGAGAGATTTAAGACCTTATAGAATTTGGGCTTTATTTGGAAGATTTGGGGTAGTCATTGATGTACCCTTCAGTAAGAGAGTTATATCATATGACTGATATTGTCACAGAATCATTTGAACTGCTGTGAGAATAGACCCAAGAGATTCAACTGATGGAAGCCAGGAGACTGAGTAGAAGCCTCAAATGATCCATCATAGGAAGGACTGTGGTTATAGCAGGGCAGTTGCATCAGGATGAGAAGAGTTAGGGGTATTCTGAGATGCTCTGAATGTCAAGTTAAGAGGCTCTGCTCATAGTTTGGATATCAGGAATAAATGACATAGAGGAATGAAAATGATTTTGATTTATTTGGCCTGAGCAGAATAAAGAATGTCTCCTGTCTCTATTACCTACCCATATAAACCCGTTTTATTAACCCATATAATAATACATTACATGGAATTTTAACCCATATAAATTATCTCTTGGGCATGAAATGGTTCTAGTCTTGTTAGAGACCGTTGACTGCATCTGCAGAATCCTTGCCGAAAAAAGTTGGTGTCATGTGGGAAAGGCAATATTTTGCTTGCTGAAAGAGGATTGTTCAGTAGTCCTGTGACACACAAAATAATTAAGTTACGCTTTTTTTGTTATGGAAACCTGCAAGTATGGCTATGTGGTCCAACTCTATGGGCTACAGTTGGATCTAACAAAGTCCTACCATCTGTGCCATGGGAATACAAAGGAGCATGCACTTGTATGTTCCAAAGCATGTTGTTGAGCTCTGCTGAATTACAAAATATATAGCTGAAAGAAAAAGAATTTTGAGGGAAATAAAAATATATCACTTAATTCAGAATTTCTTTGTCCAAATTCTCAGGATGATTGTGAACAACACAGCCATGGAGATGTGGTTGAATGAGTCCTGCACAGATGGCTTCATCCTCTTGGGCGTCTTTTCCCACAGCCCAGCTGACCTGGCTCACTTCTCTGTGGTCATGGTAGTGTTCTCAGTGGCCCTCTGTGGAAACGTCCTCCTCCTGGCCCTCATCAGCATAGATCCTCGACTTCACACACCCATGTACTTCTTCCTCAGTCAGCTCTCCCTCATGGATCTCATGTTGGTCTGTACCAGTGTACCAAAGATGGCAGCCAGCTTCCTGTCTGGTAGGAAGACCATCTCCTTTATGGGCTGTGGCATGCAAGCAGGCCTTTTAGTCTCTCTTGTTGGATCAGAGGGGCTTTTGCTGGGGCTCATGGCTTATGACCGCTATGTGGCTATTAGCCACCCACTGCACTATTCCACCCGCATGAGTCAGGGGGTCTGTCTCCAGATTGCTGGGAGTTCCTGGGCCTTTGGGCTACTAGATGGTTTGATCCAGATGGTGGTAGTGATGACCTTCCCCTACTGTGGCTCCAGGGTTGTGGATCACTTCTTCTGTGAGGTGCCAACTTTGTTGAAACTGGCCTGTGTTGACACCTCACTTTTTGAAACCCTGCTCTTTGCTTGCTGTGTATTCATGCTGCTCCTTCCCTTCTCCATCATCGTGGCCTCCTATGTTCGCATCCTGGGGGCTGTGCTTCATATGCGCTCTGCTCAGGCTGGCAAAAGGGCTCTGGCCACCTGTTCCTCCCACATGACAGCTGTCTCCCTCTTCTATGGGGCAGCCATGTTCATCTACCTGAGGCCTAGGCGCTACCGGACCCCCAGCCATGACAAGGTGATCTCTATCTTCTACACAGTCGTTACCCCTATGCTCAACCCCCTCATTTATAGCTTAAGGAACCGGGATGTGATGGGGGCCCTGAGGAAGGGGCTAGACTGTTGCAGGAGTGGCAGTCAACACTGAATGACCAGGGCATCCCGCACCTGGTGTCACCACATCTTGATTACAGGACATTGGCAAGTCACTCACTGTTTATTAGTGTCTGCTTCCTTATCAATAAACAGGAATAATGACACCTGCCCTGCCTCACAGGGACTCTCCTAGGGATCACTACATGGAACTCTGAAGGCTCAAGGAGAAGCAACACATAGCTATTGTCACGGATCCCCATTTATAGAGTCCTTGAAGTGAACTCACTCTATGTCTTCACTATTCTTTTCTGTGACTATCTTACTGAGTGTTTACAAAGTGTGGGGTACTATACTGGTTCCTTTAGAAACTTGTTAATTGATGATTCAGCATAATAACCATGAGTATCTGAATTCTAGATGGCAGAAATTATCTTTATAATTCCTCCTGAGTAAGTCCTAGCTTTCTCCTCTGACTCAATGAACACTTTATAAAGCTTCTTCTATGAAATAAAAATATGTCCCTACTATTTAAAAGTTACCTTTGCAGGGGTAGTGCCTTTTTATTTGCATAATCAGCACCTGGTCCTGTGCCTTATAAGTTGCTTAGTGAAAACCTTGTTAAATGAATGCAAGAGGAAGCATCAAATGAGATAAAATATACAAAACATTTTAAAGCACTGTATGTGTTCACATGCCAAATTTGCTGTAACAGCTGTGAATCACTTCAGCACTTCAAGTTCTACACACTTTTTTGCATGGAGGATGAAGATTAGAACAGAAATAAAGACAGAACTTGAGTCATTATTGTAAAACCTAACGTACATCAGTCAGGACCCAGTAAGGAAAATACCACACCAAATACTCTAACAGAGAAAATGTAATGTGAGGGATTGCTAACCATATGTTTGAGAACTGAAATAGCACCAGAACACTAAGGATGGCAGAGAAAAAGACCTGCAGAAAGAAGCTACAATCTCTAGGCCTGGGAATCTGGGGAAGGGTTTCAGGTAAGTGAAACCTGGAGTCTTGTGCCCAAGCATTGGAGGAGGACACACAGACCAGCTGGTCCCTCAGAGGGGGGCCTGTGAGGGTTGCCCAGGCCTCTGAGAAGGTTGCCCAGCCCTGACTCATGGTGGCTCCTCCAGGGCCCAGAGGAAGAAGAGGAGTCTGCAGAGCTGGGTGTCAGGCTTGTGACAAGTGGGTGCTCTGTGGCTGGTTCAGTAATCCAGGAGTTCAGAGGTCACTGTCTGTCCCCACATGGTGAGGAACAGGTGCAGGTCAACCAGGGCTTGTTCCTCTGAAGGACGGAAGGAGACTGGTGATGGGAGAGTAAAGACAAAATCTGCAAAGTGGAACCAACATCCAGAGTGAAAAATGTTTCTGAGATAGTTTGTTGGAGAAATGGGAAATGAAGGAGGAGTTTGTTTTCTCTCCCCTCTTCTCAGCTGACTGTCCACTTCTGTGCCTTGTTAGCAGATGCTCCTGCTCACCTTGTTGGCAAAGCAGGCCTCATATCTCAACTGAAGTGAAGACGTGTGGGCTTGGAGCTGAGGGAACAGCCTAGAAACTGCACTGTCCACCCCTTTGGTCTCTTAGCAGCCATGTCATTTTATCTGTATTTGAACTCCATATAAGGCAGCAGCAGCTGAACCACGCGTAACCATTCTTTGTACCCATGGTACCTTATTGGTCACAGTAGCCATCTGTGGCCAATGATGTCAGTTATACCTCCTCTCTGAGTATGAGCCCCACCTGCACTCAGGGTGTAAGGGAGAAAAGGGATGACAGAGAAGACCAAGGTAGCTTACATACATGGACACTCACACGTACACACACACACCAACTGGTCATGATGCCATACTTGATGTTTATAACTTTCTTCTTCTACTTCCCATTCCCTGTTTCCTTTGCCCCCTGGTACAACCTCATTTGTCTGGGATAATTGAGCTGTTGGCGTAGTCTAAATCTTTATTCCAAAAAGGTCTGAATACTCAATGGAATTGCCTTTGGTTGCTGCCGTGCATTCCCATTATCTTTTACTCTCGGACATGGAAGCACCTGGAGAACCACTTGTCTCAGGAAATAGCCCTTCTGCTCACAGTGGCCCAATTTCCCCTTGGTCGTCATATCAGTCACCTCACCCCACTCCCAGAGAGCTGCTGTCTTATCTGCCTGTTGGTCCCCTGGCACGAAGAGTCCAGAACGACCAGGTGAGGTTTCAATGTCTTATTGGATGCAACATTGTAATATGGTTATGGAAGAAATAGCAACACATACTGATCACTGAATAAAAGTACATACTACATTCTGTGAGCTCGAACCCCACATTTTTGGGGGTTTGTTGCTGAACTAACACCACAAGTGAGTTAGTATTATAGCTAAGGCCAACTGCATCTGGGTGATGAAATCTGTTGAAGACCAGTCAGTTCTGTGGGCACACATGCATCATTGCCCTTCTTTAGCTTCAAAACAAGTACCTGGCTCCAAAGCCATGCTGTACAGAAAACTGTGAGGATGTGCCAGGCATTCTGTCAGTGCACAGGTGGGGGCGCTGCAGAATCACGATGGGCAAGGTGAGGAGATTCATGTGCAGAATAGATGCCTGTCTATTCCAGTGAAATCAAATCACCACTTCACCCGTGATAAAAAGGGATCAAATACAATCAACAATTTATAGGTGATAGCAATTCCCCAAGGGAAAGACACCATGCTGGAGCTCAAAATTAATTTCTGCTTAAAGTACAGCACAGGGAAGATAGTCAATAATATTTTAATAACTATGGATGGTGCCAGCTGGGTATGAGACTTCTGAGGGTGATTACTTTGTAAGTTATATAATGTCCATTCACTCTGTTGTACACCTGAATATAATATAATACTGTATGCCAATGGTAACTGAAAAATTTTTTAAATGTTTAATTAGTGTCTGCTAATGGGAGGCTAGCACTCAGTGGTAGTAGTAAGCAGGTCAGTATAGTGAGGATGAATCCGTGTAGATAAGCCTATGCATATAACCTCTGTTCCTACCACCCTTGTCCCCTACTACCTAGTCCACTGAGAAAGCACCAGAGTGGCCCATAGAATGTGGCCTATGAAATGTCAGGAGAATCGAGATTCTTAGACTGCAGTGCAGAGCGGGAGAATTGATGTGATACGAGACTAGATTGTAAAGAGTACTGTTGGACCTGAAAGGTAACAACCTGCTTTGATTGGTCCTTGCAAGTTGTTATAGAGAAAAAGAATGTTCTAGGTCAGTAAGCTGCATACCGGGAGTCGAGGGCTATGTGATTTATTCCAGTAAAGGTTAACATGCTTAACAGCCTCTATGGTTAGAGTTATCATCTGTTTAATTTTATAATAGTTTGAAGGAAATTTCAAAGATTTCTTCTTCTTCTTTAAAGAACAAAAGAAACATGCATATTTCAAGTTTATGGTGGCACTAATATGCAGAATTTTCCTAGCAATGCAGTATTGACTTTGGTATGCTGTCCCGGGAAAGAACAGAATTTCTTGAACTTCCACTAGCTCTCTCTACCATAATGAAACTCACTGCACAGTCCAGAGAGAAAATAACAGTTTCTGTGGATGTTTATTCCAAATAATCATTGAAGATGTGGGAAAAAAACACATGGTCAGTTTACAGACCTACAGTGTGATTAGAACCTGGGCCAAAATACCACTTATTAACTCATCATCATAAGCCTCTGCTTTGACTGGTGGACTACAGTGGTAGTTAGGGTCACAAAGATTTAATAATAATTTAGGGCCATTATCTAGAGAGAACTAAGACTCAAAATGGGTTTAATGATAAAGACTCAAAATTAGATTCCAGACATGATGGAGGTGTAGGTAGAAACCCTTCTCTTCCTCATACAACCAAAAGAAGGATAACCACCAATCTAAAAACAATATATCCCAGAAGTGCCAGAAAATCAAACTGCATGGAACTCCAACAGCCAAGGAAATAAAGAAACCGTCAACCAGACCAACCAGACCACCAGACCTGTAGGAAGGAAATGAGGGAGATGGGGTGGACAGCAGATGGAGAGAACTGGCAGCAAGGCAGTGGACTATGGGGGCAGGGCTGGCTGAGAAGACCCTTGGTGAATCGGTGGACTGTGCAGGTGGAGCTGACTGAATGGGAAAGTAAAGACTGAGAGCTGACTGTGGACTACAGCAGGGTTGCCATGGTGGGAGTAACTCCTAGTCTCACAGGAGTTCATTGGAAAGTGGGGCTGGAGCCGAGCAAGCAAGCTGCATTGTTCCCTCTCTGATCCCTCCCCCACAGACAGCAACACAACCTGGATAGAAGGTTATCCCACCCAGGTGAATATCTAAGGCCCCACCCCCTTACAACTTAACAGGTGCTCTGAGACAAAGAAATATGGCCCAAATGAAATAACAGATCAAAACTCCAGAAAGAGAGCTAAGCAATGAGGAGATAGACAACCTATCTGATGGAGAGTTCAAAACCCTGGTAATGGGGATACTCACAGAACTGATTGAGCTTAGTTGCAAAATGTAAGAACAAATGAAGGATACCCAAAGTGAAATAAAGCAAAATATTCAGGAAACCAACAGTGACAGGAAGGAAATTAGGACTCAAATCAACAAGTTGGAGCAGGAGGAAGAAATAAACATTTAATCAGAAAGGAATGAAGAAACGAGAATTCAAAAAAATAAGAAGAGGCTTAGGAAACTCCAGGAAAACTTTGAACGTTCCAATGTCTGAATCATAGGGTTGCCAGAAGGAGAAAAGGAAGAGCAAGAAATTGAAAATTTATTTGGACAAATAATGAAGGAAAATTTCCCCAATCTGGCAAAGGAAATAGACTTCCAGCAAGTCCAGGAAGTCCATAGAGTCCCAAAGAAATTGGACCCAAGGAGAACACACCAAGGCATATCACCATTAACTTACCCAAGATTAAAGTTAAAGAGAGAATCTTAAAAGCAACAAGAGATAAGGGGACAGTTACCTACAAAGGAGTTTCCATCAGACTGTCAGCTGATTTCTCAAAAAAGACCTTACAGGCAAGAAGGGGCTGGAAAGAA